TCAACGTCTGCCACTGATCGTTGGGTGGTAGGGTTAGGCGGTTCGTTGGGTGATTGGGTTACATGGGTGGGTGGGTTGATCGTTGGGTGGTTCGGTTACGTGGTTCGTTGGGTGGTTGGGTGGTAGCGTGGTTGGGTGGTTCAGTTAGGTTGTTGACCCAGGCAAAGTCTCTGCATGCTTGCCTGCGTGTCTGCTGCATGCTTGTCTGCCTGTCTGCTGCATGCCTGCCTGCCTGTCTGCTGCATGCCTGCCTGACTGCTGCATGCCTGCCTGCCTGTGTGCTGCATGTTCCCAAGGTCCACGTCAACCGCCACGTGCCCGTCTGCTGCATGCTTGCCTGCCTGTCTGCTGCATGCCTGCCTGTCTGCTGCATGCCTGCCTGCCTGCGTGCCCTTCTACTGCATGCTTGCCTGCCTGTCTGCTGCATGCCTGCCTAACTGCTGCCTGCCTGCCTGCCTGCGTGCTGCATGTCTGCGTGCCTGTCTGCCATGCCCGCCTCCCTGTCTCCGTCTTTCCCTGTCTGCGTACCTGTCTCTCTGTCTGCCTGCCTGCCTCCGTCTTTCCCTGTATGCGTACTTGTCTCTTTGTCTGCCTGCCTGCCTCCCAAGGTACACGTCAACACGACACAGGCCCAGTCAACATCGACACAGGCCTGGGAGGCGGCTTAAGTAAACCTCACCACACGTGGGCCCAGACCCAGGTCAACGGAGGTACAGGGCGAGACCAGGTCCTGCCTCCGTGCGTCCACAGGTCCAACCACAGGTCCAAGCCCAAGTCCGACCCTAGGTAGACCTGAAAACAGCATCAGGCACAGACCCAGGTCAACGGGGTTGCAGGGGCAGACCAACGCGAGGGCAACGTGTGGGACTGGACATGGGCTAGAACTTGGACCTCTGCTTTGAAAGGGGGGGGTCAAAAAAAAAAAAAAAAAAAAAAAAAAATCCTATCTGCCTAACTGTCTACCTATGTGTCTGCCTGTCTGTCGCCGTGTCTGCCTGCGTGCCTGTCTGCGTCGTTGCACAGGTTAAGACACACAAACAGGCAGACAGAGAATCAAACAGATGATTGTCTGCCTTTTTTTTTTTTTTTTTTTTTTTTTTTTAACCCCTTGGCCGAGGTCCTGGCACAGGCCCATGTAAACCTGAGAACAGGCCCAGGTCCACACTCACGTCAACATGGGTACCTGCCTGGGCCCAAGATCAGGTCAACGCACAACCCAGGGCCTGTCTCTTATACACATCTAGATGTGTATAAGAGACAGGGCCCAGGTCCACACTCACGTCAACATGGGTACCTGCCTGGGCCCAAGATCAGGT